CTTTAATCCCCCCCTAAACCCCCTCCAAATCCCCCAACATCCACCTCTCACCCAAATTGCTGCACACACGACCCAGTTCCGCGCGTTTCAGCGTGTAGAGGTAGAAAGGGACGGAACTTCGCACCAATGCTACCTTTAAATCTCAACAGGGGAGCTGAAGTTGCGCTCTCCTCAACCCCCAAGAAGTAGGTGCGCACCGATAAAGAGTTTGCCTGGGTGGAAGCATAAAAGAAAGTGCTATAGCCTTCACGAATCGATTGATCGCTCGCTTGCTTTTTCCCTCTTGTAGACGGTGTGTGTATTGTGAAAAAAGTGGTCGGACAAAGGTTGTTTGACCTCTGATCCCACTGGTATGCCACATATGACTGAATTCCGCGGTTTTAAATGCTCACTCAAGAGTCTTTAAAGATGGAACTTGCATTCAATATGGATCCCGAATGAATAATGCCCATGATCTACCAATTTCTAATGAACCAAATAAAATTGCCAGGTGGAAAAAAAAGTTTGTTCTCCACACATTTTTTTACCTTTGAGCGTCAACACAAATGTGTGAGAAACATGTATTCACACAGGACATCGCTAAATTATTGCTCAAATTGTGGTAAGCACAATTGTCGTATACGGAGGAGAAAAGAATAGGAAGCCACGCAGTTTATTTTTCCTTATGATGCTTTTGGTTGAATAAACTGCCGACCGACCGGATAGGGCGTACGAAGGACTGGATACTTGAGACTCTTCTGCCCGTCTCGGTACAATTCAAATACCTCATGAAAAGGAAAATTTTAAGGAAATACGCCAATACATAAGAATACACAGGTGTCCGAAAAGCTTTTAAGTGGTGTGCCTTGTCTGGGGACCCAAAGTGGTGCATGGGCATACCGCGCTGTTCCCTCTGTTTTGAGAAACATCACTCACGTGCCATCACATGGAGGCCAGGGAGGTTGTTCCCACTCATTGCAGGACTGAAATGGGGAAAATTATCCGAGGTCTATGTTCTTTGGCATAGCTTTGATCATTCAGAGCTGTGGGTAAAATGTCATGTTGACTCTTGTCTCTTTTTTACTGTACAGGCAAGGATTTCCTAGCCCCTCTCGAGCATTCTTGTTCGAGCTAGACGCTGCAGGACAAGCAGGCAAAGCTTAGAGACACCATCCGACGCTTGATGATGAACGGCTAGTCTGGCATAATATGTTATCATCATTCCCATCCTGTCGTCGTCAAAATTAAACGAGACGTCAAAATTGCAAGTCCTGGTCTCGCAAGTCTAAACAGCCAGCTTTACGCAATGGAAGGAGAAGTTGCCAGTGTAAGCGCGACCTCCTCTGAATTACATGAGGGTCCGATCACCTCAAGCACAACATCAGGTGTCCTCCCTGCTCCTCCCAATACTGTGAAGAAAGCTATTGTCCCTCCTTCTTCTCGCCCGCAGGCCGGCTTGCTCCATCTTCTCGGTCAGGAGGGCAGCGCCGCGGAAAGCCTCGGGTGCAATGGGGAGGAAAGCGAGCGCACGTGTAATGAAAGGGATCAATCCGATGGGTGTTTGATGTCCAACACATGGGAAGCCACG